CTGCGGGGAGCAATGACCAGTAATTCAACCATTTGGGCTCATTCCTCATGACTGCCGCCCAACGTACTCTGTCGCTTGGCCACCCAGGAGAGGAAACCTGCAACAAACACGCAATATCAAGAACGCTTAGTGGGCGTGAAGTGAAATCCAGCAGCCGCCGCCTTCCTTTGCTGAAGCTGACACACAGTGCAGAGTGCATGCGTTTTCTTCTCACCGTATGAGAAACACTAATCTCGATAGAAAAGCCTCTAAATCTTATCCTAAATCGCCCTGCAGATTTCACACCCCAGCAGTGCAGGTAAGCAGCGGATTTAGAAGATGTCAGGTCTCTCGCCATCTAGTGCTGACATGAAGCTACTCTTAGAAATGCCGCTTTCGTTACAGTCAAAGACAAATAAAGCAACTCGAAAGCGTTAAGACAAACCCTCACTTGTTATACCTTTGAGCAGGACGACTGTGCAGTGCATAAATGATGCGTGAATGCAGACTGTGCTTAAACGCTACACCACCAGCAGAATTCGGCTGTTGGACTTCTCACCCGGATGAGGAGGTCTGGGCTGGCTTCCAGCGCTTTGAAGGAAGCGCAACACGGTGTTCAGGTTTTCTCCCGTCTGCAAACAGACGGGTGCACAAACATCACACCGCGAAGTTCGCTTAAGGCTTCCCAACCGCAGAAACAACAGCGACAGCAACAACAGCGCCGCCGTCTGAGTCTCTGCAGCTCTCTTCCCTCAAGCTCAAAAGCAAATCCCAAAACGAGTATTGCAGCAACCGCAACTACAAACCTCTCCCTGTTCCCTTTCCTCTCTGTTTCTTGCGCTTCAGTGCTCTCCGCTGGCTCTGCGACACGCACGACGTACCTCCCGTTCGCCGATAAGTGGGAAGGCGTACATCCAGCCTGCCGGGAAATCAGGCTGATAGAACGACTCAAGCGCACCCGCTGCGGATGTAGCTACTCGTTTTAGGCCGGCCACGAGAGGACCACCTGCCTTGGTTACGGCGGACGCAGTTGTTTGCTGGGATGCTCCTGCACTGGGATGCGGCATTTCTCCAGCTGCACTAGCTTCCTCGGTTCCCCAACTGTCCCCACTGGATTGCTTTCCTTGTACAGCTGTTAGCGCTCCCCCATATTCCCGGACAGCCGGAGCTGCTGTTGGCTTTTGGGACTTTGCAGGCTCCTGCCCTGCTTCCTCTGCATCGCCAATCCCTGCAGGATGTTCAGGCGCTTGCAAATCAGTCATTGGCTGCCAGGGAAGCTGTTCTGGTACATCTTCTGGCCGTTCCCCAGACTTCCTACCCTTTCCAGAACGTCCTGACATATCAACCAATTCAAACTCAAGCTGCTGTGTCGTTCCTGTCGAACTTGCCCCTGGACCTGCCCAAGCACCCTCCGCGTCGGCAGGTAGTTGTTGGGCTGGGTGTCCAGGCTCTTCCGTTGTCCCTTGGGATGTTCCAGGCAACCCCGATGGTTCCTCTGCACCGCGACGCCCCGCACGACGTTCAGGCCCCTGCGCATCAGGCATTCGCTGCCAGGGAAGCTGTTGTGGTACATCTGCTGGCTCTTTCTCAGACTCCCCACCCGTTGCACCGACTGCCGATAAATCACGCCATGGAAACAGAAGCTGCGGTGTGCTTCCTGCCGAACTTTTCCGTGGATCTGCCCAAGCACCCTCCGCGTCGGCAGGTAGTTGTTGGGCTGGGTGTCCAGGCTTCTGCTTTGTTCCTTGTGATGTTCCAGGCAACCCCGATGGGTCCTCTGCATCGAGACTCCCCGCGGGACGTTCAGGCCCCTGCGCACCAGTCATTCGCTGCCAGGGAAGCCGTTCTAGTACATCTGTTGGCCGTTCACCAGACTCCCTACCCTTTCCAGAACCTCCTGACATATCAACCAATTCAAACACAAGCGGCTGTGTCCCTCCTGCCGAACTTTTCCCTGGATCTGCCCAAGCACCCTTCGGACCCGCAGGTAGTTGATGGGCTGGGTGTCCAGGCTTCTGCTTTGTTCCTCCTTCACTCCCTGTCAAGTATCCCCCAACTCCCGCAGTGCCTGCTGATAGAAAGGGCAGTGCGTACCCAGCCCCTTGTGCTGCTTCGTCTCGATCACCAGCTGAAGATCCCTTTCTTTCCGCAGCCTTCGGTGGCGCCCAAGGCTTTGGCAACCCTTGACCTTCTTCTGTC